TCAACATCAAGCTTCTGGCTATTTGGTTATATATCTGATCATGTATCCTGACAGTGATTGAATGGGGCATATGGAGGAACTTCATTAACGTTCTCTGGTCATTCAAGGCCTGCCATCAGTCAGTGTCAGCGAATGTACTTTCCGAGAGTGAGTCTTGTCTCTCAGGGAGTAATTTATAGATGGGGGAGGATAGAAACGAGTTGCCTCCAGTTTCCCTGGGAAACACTAATTTCTCCTCCCTCTTCTTACTCATCTCAACTCGATCTCCGACCCCAGAGCTGTGGACACGCAGGACACGTGCCTCTGGGTGGGGAGATCCCTCGAGTCGGCCCCAGGGGCTTTCCCTCACAGATGTCCCTGTCTCTCCGACCTTGGCGTGAATGACCACAGCCCTGGTTCTGAGAAGGGAAACCATTGTGTGTCTCTGCCCACTGCAGAACAGCAACAGAGGGAGGAATTCAGGGACAGCAGCTGGAGGCACCAACACAGCACACCCTGTCCCTGGTGCCTCACTGGCGTTTCAGCAGGAGACGGTAGTTTTGAAATGAGCATTCACGAGGGAGCCGACACAGAGACTCAGGGGGATCAGCACGAATAAAGATTTCTTTCTTTCTAAGTGTAATGTGTGCATCATTTTTCTCGCAAGACTGCAGTGATTCAAGTCAAGTCCTCTGGCCGTATTCTAAAACCCAGTTCTGCAAGAACACCGGATTTATAAACCCTCAGTATATCCCACAAGCTCTACAAAGAAAGATCTGCCATTAGGCAAATGCAACTTTGTAAAATTGTGAGCAAAAGGTCCACGGTGAACAAGCCAAGTGCTGTGTCTCAGTCACGGGAAATCACGAATATTACCGAGATTAAAGAATATGGACACTTCGGAAGCCTATCCAGCAAGTACTTGTGGTTGAGATAAGAGAGTCTACTTATAACACTCCCTGCCCGTGAGGAGTGGTTCTCAGGGTGTGGTCTCCAGACCAGCAAAATCAGCATCAGTGGGGAACCGGTTTAAAACGCTCATTCTCGGGCCTCTTCCCAGACCGACCGAATCAGAAGCTCTGGGCTGGGGCCCAACAATCTGAGTTGTCACAAGTCCTACCCGGGATTCTGACGTGTGCTCAAGTTTGAGAAGTACACGTTTATGAGATACCATCTGCCTCACGAGGTACACGGGATGATGGCTTTCCTTCCCAGACATCTAGTCCTTAGTGCCCTAAGGCATCTGTGTAACGGGTCACCTTCTCCCTGTGCATCTAGAAGCCTACTGGCACGTAGTAGCTTTGGAAAAATAAGGAAAAGTGTCGAATACGTTGCTGTGGTCTTGACTGAGTCCACAATGCGAGTGTTCTTATTGTCCACAACTCATCTACCAAGCCATTCGGTTAGAGCAGCATCTACCTCCCTGAACCAATTTCTGTATCAACCAAGAAAACTTCAGTCATGCTGTGGTGACAAATCGCCTGCAAACTCCCCTCATGTAACGTCATAAAGGTTCACTGATGGTCACAACACACCTGTAATCAGGTCGGCAAGGACACTGTACCCCACGCGGCACTAGGGGACCCAGGTGACACTTATTGCCACGGACACCGTGATGGGAGAAGGGGGCACAGTGAACCACGCACTGGCTTTTCGAGCTCCCACCTGGAACTGACACGTCACCTCCGCAAATGTGTCATTGCCAAAGCAATCACGTGACCGAGCCTAACTTCAGAAAGAGGCAGGGAGTACCCAGAGAAAGAAGGGGGACATCTGAGATCGGCCCAAGGGATGACAATCCAGGGTTAGGAGTGGGCCACAACCCCCATGTTGTGCAAAGCTGTGTTTTAACATTAAAGAAACGGTTGGGGGTAGGGGGTAGCACTTGGGTGGCTCAGTCAGTTAAGCATTTGACTTCAGCTTAGGTCATGATCTCATGGGTTCGAGCCCCGCGTCAGGCTCTACGCTGACAGCTCGGAGCCTGGAGCCTGCTTTGGATTCTGTGTCTCCCCCTCTCATGTTCTTTCAATAATAAATAAACATTAAAAAAAAAAAAAAAGAAACAAACCATTCCTAGGGGTTCCCCAGCCCCTCACAGGCTCCCTCTCAGTAATCTGCCCCCCGCCCCCGAGTGGTAACTGTCCTGACTTTCAACGCCACACATCAACTATTTTTTTTTTTTTTTACACTCATTCATTCAACTAGTGTTTGTGAGCCAGGCACCAGAACTTCTTAGTCTTGGCAGGTGGTGTTACAAACCCAAGTGTGACAGCTGAACTTCTGAGCTTCATTTTGGAAGACTTGTTTTTGTGTGTGTGTGGGGGTGTGTGCAGAGAAATGGTGACATATTTTATTTAAAGAAAAAAGGCTTAGGGGCATCTGGGTGGCTCAGTCGGTTGGGCGTCTGACCTCGGCTCAGGTCATGATCTCGCGGTCTGTGAGTTCGAGACCCGTGTCGGGCTCTGTGCTGACAGCTCGGAGCCTGGAGCCTGCTTCGGATTCTATGTCTCCCTCTCTCTTTGCCCCTGTCCTACTCACATTCTGTCTCTGTCCCTCTCAAAAATAAATAAACATTAAAAAATAAATAAATAAATAAATAAAGCATAGGTTAATTTCATACTTAATAGTGAATACAGAGTAATTTTTAAAAATAGGATTTGTTTCTGGGGCGCCTGGGTGGCTCAGTCAGTTGAGCCTCCGACTTCGGCTTGGGTCATGATCTCATGGTCTGTGAGTTCAAGCCCCACATCGGGCTCTGTGCTGACAGCTCGAAGCCTGGAGCCTGTTTCAGATTTTGTGTCTCCTTCTCTCGCTGACCCTCCACCGTTCATGCTCTGTCTTTGTCTCAAAAATAAATAAACATTAAAAAAAAAAGAAAGAAAAAAGGTTTTTTTGAGAGTGCACACATATGCACATGTGGGGGAGGGGCAGAGAGTAAAAGGGAGAGAGAGAGAATCCCTCTGTGGTATTAGCACTGGGCCCAATGTGGGGCTCAAGCTCACAAACCGTGGGATGGTGACCTGAGCCGAAATGAAGAGTGGGACGCTTTACCCACTGAGCCACCCAGGTGCCCCTGAAGGGTGACATATTTTAGATAGGATTGAGGGACTGGAGTCCTCTGAAGTCACAGGGATCCCATCCAATTAGCGACTTGTCTTTATCACCTGTTTATTCAGGCACATGATTACACAGCGAGGCGGATGGATCACAGCCAGAGTCCCTCTGCTGCCTGACACGTGAGAAGCGAGTGGCCCGCCCGGCCGGCACTTGGGTGTGGAGCCGCCTGACGACACTGGTGACAGAGCAGCACCTGACAGTCTGGGCTCAGGGGTCTCCTCTTGCTCTCCACCACACAGCCTCGTCCTTGCAGGTAGTTCTAAGGGGGGACGAGCTGGATCCTTCCGGGTTGGGGAACGGGGAGCAAGTATAAAATTTATTTTGGCTCAAATACAGGACTGGCGTTTGCTCTTTGGAATACCTCCTATGCGACTTCTGTCATCGGAAAGCGAGGGATACGGTTCCCATCCCTATTCAATCGCTAAAGATCTGAGCCGGTTGCCTCAAACGCCAGCTCCTCCCCCGATGTCCAATCAGACGCCTCCGTACCAGCCCGTGGTATTTTGCGCTCTAGCTTCTCCACAGAATCCTTGCTGGAATTCAGGTCGTGGGTCCCAGGGACACGACTCTAAGTGCTAATTCCACCGTTCACACTTCCACAGCTGACTGTGACTTCCCAATTCCCAGCCCCCCTCCCCACCCCGGAGAACCACCAGTGACTTTGGCGGGGAGGGAGCGCGAGCACGTGCGGCCCTGGAACACTGTGGCCACCGGCTCGGCCACATCCTTTTGTGGTAATCGTCTTTGGCAAAACGGACTGTAAATGTATTTTTATAATCAGCTGGCTTCTAAATTACAGCCGTGTGGCGTAATGGCAGAGTAAACATATGATTAGTAATTTCCTTATGGCAGAAAGTAGAACGGTCTCGGGCTGAGTCTCTGGCTAAGGCCCAGGGCTTAAAAAGAATTGTTCTTTCAGTACAAGAGAAGAGAGAAAACTCTCTTTATTCCAAAGCCAAAGCAACGGGTCACGGCCTTCTTCCTGTGTAGAAACAGTTCTCCTTCCCGAGGAAGAGGGCAAGAGCAAGATGAACTTGGGAAAATACTCCAAGTGCTGTCTGCACGCTCAACCTCTGTCCCTGAAGTACCGCCTTCCCCATGGCAGCCATGGTTCCTGGCCTTCTAGAAACGACTGCTCCGGAGTTACAGAAATGCCATCCAACACGGACACACAGACTACCATGGCTCCTTAAACACCCAAGATAAAAGATGCAGCATAATGCTTCTTGTTTTGTTACTGTTGTCTCTGCCCCATCCAACTTGTATACAAAAGAACTACGGTAGTTCTCCTAATTCGGGACTAAAACAATTCTCAGTGTGGACCAAAGGCCGTGTTGAGAAACACCTGGGCTGCTGCTGCTTCGGGTGAAGCTCAGAATGGGCATTTTCCCCAGGTCCTGCAACCATTTCTGACGCGTGCCGTGGACGCGGAAGTTCCCACCAAACAGGCAAAAAATTACTCATTAGGACCTGATCCCGTCTGCGAGGGTTACCACACACCTGCACACCCACGAATCTTCCCGCCACAGGACTGGCAAGTTACAAACCAGAGCCCCAGAGCCCAGCACTCCACTTATGGGGTGGCGGGGGGGGGGGGTTGCTGGTCTAGAATGCACACTCCTGGTAACTTTCTCCAGCAGCAAGTCTCCCCCAGCCCTCCTAACCCCCACACAGGGTTTAGTCCATTAAGCCACGGTGGAGCAGGACAAGTTGTATTCAACGTTTTTGTTGTGTTTTTTTTTTAATGTTTTAAATTTTTGAGAGAAAGAGAGAGAAAGCATGCGTGTGAGTGGGGGAGGGGCAGAGAGAGAGGGAGACACAGAATCTGTCAGAATCAGGCTCCGGGATCTGAGCTGTCAGCACAGAGCCCGACTGGGGGTTTGAACCCATAAACCCTGACATCATGACCTTAGCCACAGTCAGACGCTCAACTGACTGAACCACCCAGGCGTCTCTTTGTTTCTTAATGTTAAAGTCTCAAAGTTCCCACTGATCTACCCTTTTGTCTAGGGGTGTCTTCAGCTTCTAATTTTCCAGGGTAAGAAAACAGAGGCTGTCACTTACAGGTTTAGGCTTCTCGTCACATCTGCCAGAAAACAAGATTGGGAGTCTCCAGCCCTAGGCCGGCCTCCTGTGGGGGAACCTGCCCCAGTGTCCTGTCACACATTCCTTTATAGCCTTGTGGCTCAAGAAACTGCAGCTACACCAATGGGGGACAATCAGGCTGGTTTATATAATGTGCCAAGATCCCAAGATAAAAAGCCTTGTAAGTGCCCAGTGTTAGCAAACAAGGCACAAAGCAGAGCTCCCGGCAGCTAGATTCTTTCTGTATTGAGACCACACTCCATGATAAAACACTCACTCATTTTCTTTTGCAAAATTTAGCATAAGAAATCTGCAATGAAGCACAGACGTAGGAATTTGTTTTCTCATGCACTGACATTATTAATGACTTCTCTTGTCAAACAGAACAAAACTCCCAGGACCACAAACCAGCAGAGACGCAGCCCTCCCTGCTCAAAAGGCACGTCATGCCATTAAAGGGTACCGAACTCACAGCGCCACTTTTCTTCACACACACAACCTTCTGCTTTAATTTATTGTGCTCTTTCAGGTCTGAAGGAGCTTGAATAACTATGCGAACTGAAATTTAGTGCCAATCCCTGAGCTGGCAGATCTACCCTGGGATGGACAAAGATGTTCGCGTCCCCAGGCAGCTGTGACTTCACTTTCACGGTTCGTGGAAGAGGACAGTCCTTCTGCCCTAGATGTCCCGGCGTGGGACTTGGGGGCCATCACATATGGCCCCAAGTTGGCCTCAATTCCCAGTGCTACTTTTCAGAGCTCCTCTGAGTTGTTCTCTAAACAACCACACCTCTAAGCCTGTGAAACAACAGGCTTTCTAGGACAGGCATCGTGGTGCACACCTGCTGGGAAAATCTGTTCTCTGGTCTCTTTCTCAAGCCCAGCAATGAATGAGCAGAGGAGAAGAAGGAAAGCGGAAGAAGGGAAAGAAACGTGCAAGAACCCGTGATGATTCTCCGGTACACCCTGACTCTCATAAATGGCCTGGGTTAAAATTCACCACTGGCAACCGGGCCCAAGCACCTCATTTGCATTGTGGTGGCCACGCTTCTTCATTGAAACGAGATAGACTGGATCCCCTTCACTTTGTAGAAAAGGCTGCAAGGCAGGTGCAGTCACCCAGCAGCTGTACCCGAAACCAGGACCAGAGGCCTGACAAGAGCTAACTCGTCGCCTCCGCTCGGAAGTTACCTGTCTGATGAGCTGTGTGCCTAGTAAGGCCTTAAATTTCCGACTCCCGACGTGCAACCTGAGTAACGGGCAGAGCCATGCAAACGCAGTGCTCTCAGAAGGTGTCTCGTCTCGTCCAAGTGCAAGACCAGGGGGCCAGCAGTCCCTGCCGGCACAATCCATCAGCTTTTGCTGCCACTGCTGTAAGTCAATAGGATCGGGCAGACAGCTGTCAGAGATGAAGCCGGGACAAGCAAGAGCACTTAATGAAATTTTATTTGGAAAATATGGCAAGAGTCTAAGGCACTTCAAACATTTAAATACATTTAAGACCAAAGTAAACGTGACATGGTAGAAAGGAATCCATAAATACGTGGAGAACTACACTATGTTTCTCTAGAGGCAAATATATAGCCAATTCCTCTAACGTGATTCAACCCTTGTCATTAGGTACAGATTTGTGCAATTATTAATTAAAAACATGGTAATGTTACACGTACTTCTTCATGTCTCAAGGACGACGGAATATAAAAGGTGAAAATACTGTGTCAATTTTATATAGATGCCTTTTATATAAAAAGTCATATAATACACCCACCCAGATAAACCCAACCGAAAAGCTTTCTTTTCATTAAGTTTTGTACTTTCCGAGAGTTCTGTCTTCTATTTTTAAACCAGGAATCTACCAGGCCAGGCCCAAGGTGCTGACGATTGGTCATCTCCACTCCCTCACTTTCCAACAGTGAAGACAAAAGGAAAATCAACAAAACCCTCCCGGAATGGGATTTTCAGAGCTTTCCAATGGCTCCACAAGGGGTAAATATAAATGCTTGCGGACAATTGTAAGACCGCCAAGCCAGTGAGAACCTGACGCTTCTTGGCAGTGGCGAGGGCGGGAGAGAAGGGAGTAGGGGCTGCCCGCTCAGGTCAGGTCACCATATCCTACGACTGTACATAACCGAGCAGAGACTCAACAGCAACAGAGACGGGGGTGGGCTCGCCCCCCGCGCACAGGGAAGGCGGCCAGGCGGGAGGCGGGGTGTGCCGGGCAGCACGCCCCTGCTGGCTCCGCCCCCACCGTGCAGCTCCAGGCTTCCGCCCTGGCCCTGGCTTACCCGTTCTGTTTGCTGGTGAGCTCAGGCACAGCACGCATACATTCAGTATCTGTCACCCCAAGAGGAACAATTAGCAGCTTAGTGGTGGCATGTAAATGGACGGCTATTTGCATATAATCAGTCAAATGAACTCCGGTGGGTGGGGCCAGGAGATGTCTTCCTTCCAAGCCTGGGGGTACCCTAGAGACCAGGAAAGGAAAAAAAAAGGGGGGGGGGCAGTTAATGAGTGACCTCAAGCAGATGTGTCCTCTATAACAGGGGCTGTGCCCGCCACAGCTGACAACCACCTGTGAGCCAGCGTGAGGGCAGCTGGGACAGGGGACACAGACCCATCAGCAGGAGCTGCTCTGAGCAGCTGTCCGGCTGTCCTGGGAAGTCGCTGTCCCGCTAAGAGTGGGCTCTGGGAACAGAGGTTGCTGCTCACCGTCTGCTTTAGGAAAAATGCCAGGAACGTAGCAATATGTACTCACGGGCACACGATGTGCCACTTGGATAATTCTGTCCAGAAATAAACCCTTCACGTGAGGAGGGCATAAGCGAATGTTTGTTTCCCAAGGACAAGCAGGTGCCCAGCCTCTGTGCTGCTAACCATCAGCACTCCTGGCCTTGTGGGCGGGGCAAAAATCATGAACTCTCAAGTTCCAGACTAAATCTCCCATTTTCAGAATCCTCAGAAAACCCGCACTGCCTGCCAGCTCCCGAAGACGGGGGCCGGCCAGCCTGCTGGATTTCGGCCTGTTCACAAATGTCAAATGCACAACACTGACCGGAGACTGGGCCTTCGCGAAGTTGACATGGGCGTACAGGAGAACGGCGATGTCCTTGTGTCCCGCCTCCAGGGCTATCGAGAGTGCCGTGCTGCCGTCCTTGAGGAAAGAACAAGCCAGGCTGGGTTTCTCACATTTACGGACAGCCAAATGGGAGCAAAACAAATACTTTCCAAGAATTGATAAAGTTCCCCAAATTTGTTCAGTTCTTCAGGAGACTTTTCCAGATCTCTGTGTGCTAAGCCCTAAGGACGAATGGGGCACAGCGTCCACAATGGGGAAGTCCCAGTTGGAGAAGAATCACCTCATCCCCTCTGGCTCACGGTGGTTAGAGTGTAGATGTGTGCACAGTATGTGCTCAACAAAAGCGGGCTGCCTGAGAAGAAATTTCTCAACTATTCTTCCCACCAGCTGGGGGCTCTAGGGAAAGATGTGGGTGGAAACATAGTTTCTTTTTTCCTTATATTTCCAAGGGAGCAGGCAATACCACAGTGTGTTCTGACACCCTGCAATTTGTCAAAGATCTTTTAGCTTTCCTCTTCGGGAAGGAGTCCCTCCTCCATCCCTGATCACCCCCAATCGAATGCTGTGAATCCTGCTGCCTTGCAGAAATACATCTTATGAAAACATGCGGGTGGGGTGCCTGGGGGGGGGGGGACTCAGTTGGCTAAGCTTCCCACTTCCGCTCAGGTCACAGTCTCCCGGTTCCTGAGTTCGATGCCCGCATCTGGCTCTGGGCTCAGAGCCAGGCTCAGAGTCTGGAGCCTGCTTTGGATTCTATGCCTCCCTATCCCTCTGCCCCCCGCCCACTTGCACTCTGTGTCTCTCAAAAATAAACATTAAAAGGAATTTTAAAAGAAAAGTATGGGGGGAAACACTAAATATGGAAAAGTTAAAGTTTCCAGTTAAATGTTTGGTTCCCATTAAACTGCAGGGATATAGAGGATGTAAAGGAGCAATAAACCAAAAACCCAAAAGCAAAAAACCAAAAAACAAACAAAAAAACCCCAGCACAATTTATTTTCCGTCTGGTCTTGGAATAAGGATTCCCTTATGGTCCCTAGCAGCAGGAAACAATTCCCATGTGGCTGGCATCTATGGTCCTTCCCTCCCACCCAGAATACTCGGAGCGACGTGTCCAGGGGAGGCCCTCGTCTTCTATTAAGCATAAGGAAGCAGACAATTAGCTGAGGTGGCCAGCATTTCCGGAAGCCAATGCGGTTCTCTGGCCTCTTCTTACCACACTTACAGGCTGTTCTTTGCTAAGCGAAGAGTAAAGTAAAAGCAAACGAAAAACAAGACACATGAAACACAAACTGCTCTTGAGGCAAGGGGAGGTGGAAGCTGTCTCCCTGCTCCAGCGGAAGGCGTTCACTCCCAGGGAAGTGCGTGCATCTGCGGAAGCCCGTCAGCCCTTGGTACCAGTAAATAACTGCACGGGTTTGCTCTTCCTGCTGACTTGGGCCCACAGGGAGCCGACATTAAGTGCAAAAAAGGATATTTTCCTTCTGATGTTTTAGTGTTTTGAGCTGTAGGAAGCTCTGGTCCAAACCTGTGCTCCACAGAGACAAACTTTCCAAAACAGACCCAATCCAGCCTGACCTCTGTGACCTTTGCACTTGGAACCACATCACCACCCAAATATTGGTTCCTGTGCCTTCACCTGTTGGCACTCCTCCCCTTTAATCCGGAGACATCCAGGAGCTGCAACTCTCCTCCCGACGTGTCCTGGGCAAGGGGTTACCTCGAGCAGGGACAGCTCAGGAGCCGGGAGAACGGATTGGATGGGGACGATGGAAAAGCAGAGCAGGAGCGCGGGAGATGTGCTCAGAGGAGCCGGGATGGTCTGGAGGGCCTATAGCTGAGGAGCTGCATGAATCGGCCACTCTGACGGGCCCCAGGGAAGGGCCTTCATTTCACGGGTGGGAAAGCGTTCCAGTGTGCTAACAAGTGGCTCAAAGCATGCAAGAACCCAGCCCGGAACAACTCGCAGGCCAGATTTCCAGGACTGGGGACCTGGTCCTCTCTTCTTCGTGGGCCTGCAAGTTGCCCACGCTGGCTCTATTCTGTGTTGTAAATCTGTTTATGGCCCTTCGGCAAGCTGGTTCTCATCCACGCCCGTCACCCCTCCTGCTGTAACGAATGAGGGGGCCGAGGCCCGCTGACCTTCCTGCCTTCCGCTCTAGTTGAATCAAGTGTCAGTTTGCACACGGTAAACGGTGCCAAGCCAGACAGGGAACGGAGGTGGCCCGGACCACAACAGAAATCCCCACAGAGCAGCAGGGAGGATGTGCTCTTTCCCTTCCCCGTGGCCCCTGCAGGGCCCGCGGGAGCCACTTACGTTGTCTTCCAGGTGGCCGTTGCAGCCCGGCTGGGCCAGCAGCAGCTTGACGATCTCCACGTGCCCGTGCTCACTGGCACACATGAGGGCGGTGGAGCCCTCGTCGTCCTGGATGTTGACGTCGGCCCCGCAGGCCAGCAGGCCCTTCACCATGTCGATCCGCCCGTGACTGACCGCCAGCATGAGGGCTGTCTGTCCCGCCTGTGGGGAGGCACGGCGGGGCGCTTCAGCGGCACATGCTGGCAGAGTGGGGGGGGGGGGGGGGGGGGGGGGGGGGTGGTGCCGGACGGGGGCGGGAGGTGGGGGGATGGCGGCATGACGACACAGGGAAAGAAGCACATGTGGGATTAACGTGGGGCTGTGCGGTGGCAGGCACGGAGGAAGAAAGAGTTTCTCACTCTGAGCTACGAGCTAAGCAACGTCAAGTAATGGGTCAGTTTTCGCCTGTCGCTTGCAGATCTATCTGGTTACAGCAAGAAGCTGGCAAGTTCAAAGGTGCTTCAAAGTCCAACTGTGAACACATCTGCACCGTGCACGTTCTGCTTACGATATGGAGACAGTTGGGAAGCAACTGTCGCTGAGCAGACGGTGGAGACTCCCGGGCCCCCAGATGCAGGCTGACCTACGGTTTACATGCACATGCTCCCAACAGAGGCAGCGCCAAGGCCGGGGAGTGGGGAGCCTGAAAGGTGAAGCTGAAGCCAGTACCTCACAGCTCTGCCCAGTCGCTATGGACCGCCAGGCAGCCACGGGGACAGGAGGCCAGGCCCCAAAGCGCATGTTCAGCGACGGGAAGCACGGCCCTGGCCCGCAGAGGTCAGAGCTGCGGAAGCGCATGCTCAGCAGCGGAAGCGCGGCACGGTCTGGGGCGCATGCTCAGTGTTGGGACGCAGGGCCCTGGGCCGGCACGGGTCTAGAGCTGCGGAAGCGCATGCTCAGCGGTGGAAGGTGCGGGTCAGAGCTGCGCAAGCGTGGGCCCGGGACGCAAGCGCGCTCACCTGGCTGGCTTTGGCATTGACGTCCCCGCAGCCGAAGAGCTCTTCCACGACACGCATGTCCTTCTCTGCTTCCACCGCGGCAAGGGCTGCCAGCATGATGGGGGTGTATCCCGCCTTGTTCTGGTGGTCCACGTTACACACGTCTGCAAAGACACGTGCCCCTTTAGGGAGAAGACTTCCAACAGCGTCCCTTCTCCCCAGCACCTGAAGGAACGGGGTTTGGAGGAGGCCAGTGAAATGGCCTCAGGTGCTCCATGTCCCAGAGTGACTCAGACGGAAACGCAAAATACGTTTTCATGTCAAACCAAGAAAAAAGGTCTCTTTGGTACTGTGTGAGGCCAGAAGCAGCAGAAGTGACAGCTTCCACGGCACCTCTTGTTCCCAACTAGGGGCTGACCTTCAGAAGCTCTGAAGTCAGGGGGCTTGGTCTAGGAAATGGTTGCTTTGAAGGGTCAACAAAGACGTTGGGATGTGGAGATTAATCTATGTTAAGGGGACCCCTGTTTTGCAATGAAGAAGGCAGTGAAAGCTACAAATACTTAGGAGGGACTTGTAAAGGTTTATGCAGAGAACACCATGGTGTTACCTGCTCAGCCATCAGTACCTGTTCTGACACCCTGATTTTGCCACCCTGACTTGTTGGGGCCCTTGGAAGCCGGACTCCAACCCCACGACACCTATCAAGCTGTTCTAGGAACTTGGTCTGAGAGCAAATGCAGTTAAGAAACCTTGAGGACTGACAGACACAATAAACCAGACCTTTTCCGTTCCTATAATTCTTTTTTTTTTTTAATATATATTTTTTTAATGTTTATGTATTTTTGAGACAGAGAGAGACAGAGCATGAACAGGGGAGGGTCAGAGAGAGAGGGAGACACAGAATCTGAAGCAGGCTCCAGGCTCTGAGCTGTCAGCATAGAGCCCGACGCGGGGCTCGAACTCACGGACCGCGAGATCATGACCTGAGCCGAAGTCGGACGCTTAACCGACTGAGCCACCCAGGCGCCCCAGCCATTCCTGTAATTCTTAAGGAGGCTTTGGGGGCTCAATTACCCTTAGTAAATTCCTTTAGCACTTTCTAATAAAATGAAAGGAATGGAGAGTGCAGGAAAGCAGCTTTCACATGTGACCAAATATAGTTAAAATGTTCAGGATGTTTCATCGTTAAGGGGTGAAGAGAGAAGGTACTACCACAAAACGTCCCTTGAGTTCTAAAATAACTGCATACCAGGAACATGATGGTATTTACACAAGGGCATGTTTTTGTATGTAGAAAGGGAAAAAGAAAAGAAAATGCTGGGTGATGGAGAAGCACGTGGGCAAACATGCTCTCAGAGGCTCCTCATCTGTGATGTTCACTCCCTCACAGATGGTTGCCGGTCACCCACATTCACCAACACACCGTATGGAGCCCCAATCACAGCCTGTAATGGTGACCAGTACAAAACTCAGTCAACCCAGAAGGGTGACTAACCAAAGCCATCCAACAATGGAGTGGAAATCATTTGATTTACCAAAATATCTCATCCACACAAATTTTCCAAGGGTAGATTAAACTGTTGCTTTCAAGAGCAAAAAATCTGAAATCTGTTTAGCTTTTCTGGATATTAACCACTTTTCTGTTGAGACAACGTGGCCTGACAGGACCAGCAGCTCTGTTTATCCTCTGGGAAGGAGGCTTGGAATTCCTTCTCATTAGATGGAAGCAGTTTTGGCCTCCATAGCCCCATACGCTGGGAATAAGCAAACTTAGAAAAGACGATAAATCTGCCCAGTTACTTCTCTGCATTAATTCAATTTCCCCAAAACAGAGTAGAAGAAATTGGAGAGTTGAATCAAGAAACAGTACATGAAAACTGGACAATTTTATTGCATATTCTAAATCAAATGTTCACACTGTTCTCACTGATTAGACCAAAGTACTATAAGTTCTGTATCAGTCACATACTAGAAGTAAAAATACGTATTTCAAAAATAAATCAGAGTCACTTGGGGACTAGGTGAACCACTGGCTGCTCTATTTGAACAAAAAGTTGGAAGCTCCCAATTTTCCAAGGGGACCCCTTCTATCTAGCACACCCTCGCTTCATGTTTAATGCACGTCAGAGGCTATATTCTGGGATGGGATATTCCAGTTATAAACAAGATTTGTCACTGTCCTCATTACTATGGCTCAGAGAGAAGAATAACAATTTCTTCACTCTATGCTGAGTTGTCAATAACAAGGTATATTTTGGTGGGAATATACCATTGTTGATGATTCTACTATAATCTGGTATAGTGGCTTTGCATGGTCCCCATCTCGGCTAACTGTACATATCTTCGAGGCAGTTGGACGGGGTCGGGGAGCCAGGACAGGAAGAGCAGCCTGGGGACACCAAAGCTGTGACTCTGGCCCTACGAGCAGTGATCTGTCTCCTGAGAGCGCACCCGCCCAGCCTGCATGACTCAGCTCAGGAGGGACCCTGAGTCATGTTCACCTCCAGGGATATACCTCGCCTGAACGCAGTGCAACTGCAGCAAGACTATCCTTAAAACCTCCCCTCCAAACAGACCTGGAATCTGTGCCACCCTGCTTTGTTTCCATTTCACGCCTCCCCTCAGTGACTCCAGGATGACATTCTTGGCCACATCATGCGGAAAAGCAATGGAAAGGGTGTTAGGGTGGTCACAGAACTGAGGTGTGGCTCAACCAGCCTCTCTGAGACGAGTCACACCCCAAGTGCTGAGGGGAAGAGACCGGGACGGCCAACGCACCGGCGTCCAAGAGCAGCTTCACGATCTCGAAATTGGAATGTGACACGCTGTAATGGAGGGCCGTGTTGCCGTTGCCATCCGCCATGTTGATGATGTGGCGCAGGACGTCCGGGGAAACGGCCTCAAAAGCAGCTATGTAGTCCCCCACCATGGCCGGGCAGGCCGACTTCTGACTGGATACGCGGAACCACTCGTGCTGCAGGGTGTTCAGACAGGACCGCTGCCAAGACACCAGCAAGGGGCATTAGTTCTTCTATTTATAGACCTTTCCGAGACCCAGCTGCAAGCCCAAGAAATGAGGCCTTTTATAGTCAGGGTGCGTGCAGTTAGAATTTGCTCTCAAAGAATGACTAATGAAACGCAGAGCCCTAAGAGAAGCCTCAAACTCCAAACTGGAGCGTCCCTCCTGCTTTTCAACGACGGACACGTTCTAACTTCTAAAGAAGAGGTCAGACAGCAATACTCAGGAGCTCCACCAGCAAGGTTCAAAATCTGGCTCTGCTACTTGTGGGCCGTACAATCCTGGGAAAGACACTCATTCTGTGCCTAAGTTTACTCATCTGCAAAACGGGGACGGTAAGAATACCTTTGCCCCACAGCACTCGCCAGGAGGACAAACGAGGCAAGACACATGAAAACGCTCAGGCCTGGCTCCAGTGATTATCGAACTATTAATATTACATAAATTGTGCTGGCCCTGCACCTGATTTTCAGAGTAGTCAGGACAGAAGAAGTGACCTCACCCACACTTGATGATGCTGCTTTCTTCCTATACAGACCAACCTCAACTCCTTCAACATCCCCACAGCACTGGGCTTGGAGACTGTAAGCATGTAGTCAGTTCATTGTCACTCCAATCCCAGATACAAACGTTCAACCACGGAAAGGGCTTAAAAAGCAGGTCCCAAACAAATGACATTTCTCATTTAGGATCCTCTGCATCTGATCACGAGCCCCAGGCGCCCTCCCTTGGGCTGTGGACACATGAACATGGCGTTTGTTTCCTGGTCAATCAAGTCAATCCCAGACCGTATGAAGTTCAGTGCAGACTGTGGGCAGCCACTGCTGGTGATGGAAAGAGCTATAACACTTCTTCCATGAGCCCTCTTTTACATGAGTTTACCATCCATTCATTTGTGCTTTGCTTCTTCTTCTTCTTCTTTTTTTTTTTTTAAAGTGAGTTCTGTGCCCAATGCAGGGCTTGGACTTGGGACTCATGATCTCACGATCCCAAGATCAAAAGTCACGTGCTGTACTGACTGAATCAGCCAGGTGCCCCTTGTTGCTCACTCTTTAGAGACTTCAAAATATATCAGAGAAAGATGGACCGCCTCTGTCAAAAGCACCAGAACCCAGGAAGTCCCCTTTCTACAGAGGCTGGAGCTGGAATTGTACAGCTTCCGTATCTTTATCATCCTGCTACTGATTATTCAGTTTTAGCCCATTCAGTCGTACTCTGGGCCACCTGGTAAAAAGGGTCCTGGGCTGGAAAAAATGCATCACATGTTTTCTTCTGCTCACTCATTTACGTATTCAGATTTCCATTTCTCTGGAGTCCATCATCACGCAGAGGGGAGGGAACGGTGTCGTCTGGGTGGCGACGTCTGTTACGGATATGCACGTGCTGTCCTGTGATGGTCACCTGGCCCCGGCAATGTCATCATTCAGGTGTCTCCCACTTTTCACAGAACAATGCTTTAAACACTTTTTCACCAAGTGAGTTCAACTTAACCAAAAAGGTACTGAGCACAGAGTTGTGCATGTGACAACATGCTTGGCAACCTGGGGCTGCAGCATCAGTATTTTGGGAATGGTAGAAGAAAAAGTCTATTATGGCTATAAGACCTAGGGTCCAGAAGCACCAGTTTTTAAGTTTAGGTTAAACCTTGTGGGAAATATTAACACTGCAGTGACGTTTCCTGGTTTTGCTATTTGTGACTGATGCACAGACAGGGATTTAGTTTATGCTGATGGAGTTCAACATGTGGTTCTGTGATCCCTCTAGGTCAGGGGTTTTATTTAGTATTTCCTTCTGTAAACATCACCGCCGTGCTCCTTCCTCAGCACACTAATTCAATGTCAAGACACAGCTGGCTCTGATAAATTTAAGTTTCTATAGCAATATAAACAAATGGGTGAAGAAAACAGAATTTAACAAACAGGATTCAGAGAGGAGAAATAAAACACGGACCAGGACTTGAGACAGGTAAAATCTAGCCCCAGTACTAACTAGTAGCTAGTTAACTAGCTCTAGATGAATCTCATAATCTTTAGGGCCTCAGTTAAGACAGGATAGACCAGAATACAGCGGCCTCACAGGTGTGCACGCCCAGGGACCTCTCATGCCTGTGATGGCTGTCACCAGTTCTTCAGATTGTGTGTGTTGTACATGATGAAAACTGCGCCTTTCCAGGATTAGGCAGCCCCTGAAGTCCCTTCTTGTTCTAACATTTTGGTTTCATAACTTTATAATCTTCTGAAACTTAGAAATCAACTTTCTCACTGGCTGCTGACAGATGCAGCACAAAACTTCACATTAACAAGATGCACACATTCAAATGCAAACTGTATCTAACGTAACTGAGAATTTACATTTTTCTCACTGTGCTGCGAGAAGTGTCCATCAGAGGGCCAGTCTGACTGCGAGAGGAGCTGCACCTCCAAACGTCATCAACACACGAGGGAGCGACGAGCTTGGCCGTGGTATCAGAGGCACCATCGCCACGGAAACGCTCACCTGTCCTGCGCTGGGCCATTCATGTGCCCAAAGCGACCCCCAGCTTCTCTGCCGCGTGTTTCCAAGTCTCTCAAAGTGTGCGACAATGACAAGTACAGTCACTCCTAAGTTTAAAAACAGTGGCTGCCTGCATTCTGCATCAGAACTTAATACGCATAATTCATAATTGAAAGGAATGCTGACCTCGGCCCAGAGAGGTTGCTTTGAAAAACACACGCCAACTTGAAAAAAAAAAAAAAAAAAAAAAATTCTGGTGACTCTTCTCCCTGGATGACAAGGTTCCGTGAGCAGAAGCAGAACCCGTAGAAAGCTGACGACTGACTGCAGTTCGGCTTCCGTTCCATGGGCGTGAGGCCCACTGTGCATACACGAGTGAGAAATAGTTCGGGGAAAGGCACACGAGTGACAACAGCTCAGGGCAGGCTAGAGACACCCTCACAACGGGGTCCACTCGGGTCCTTTGTACGGACTGGGGACAGTGTCTGCAGGGAAGACTCACCATGTCCTTGCTGGTCAAAGCTTTGGGGTCATTTATGTTATTTTTCAGTAAGTTGCATGCAGATAACATCTTTTCACTTAATTCATACCTAAAAGGGGACAAGACAAAAGAGAGCTTATGTTTGGCCACAAGAGGAAAGGCATTTTTATTTCCAACTCTACAGTCCTTTAAAACACAAGAGGCCCCAAGTTGACCTGGAGCAGGTTGTGGTGGTATAAGGTGCTTGCCTGGAGGTCACACAGGCGTCCCCAGGCATCCAAGCATCGAAGCCACTGCACAGAGCCAGTGTGTCGAGCCAGAGCTCAGCTCTGGCCATACGGGTAGCTTTCGGCTTCACCTGTTTGGCCTTTATGATAGTGTGGACTAACATCTGCAGATTTTTCCCTCCTTCTGTTCTAAGTTCTCAAAAATATTTTCAATCGTAAGAGGTTGATGCAGTCTGTGTTACCACATATCTGTTATGCTGACCAGTAAACCACACCTGTGAACTCTGCAAGTGTGGAACCCTCCTGAAAATATCAACTTAAAAATTGCATGACATATGGTACACAAATTATATCTCAATAAAGCTGTTAAAAAAAAAATCTAGATGATAAGATCCTGAGCCACGTGAAAATACTTGGAAATATAAACTAGAAACACTTACCTCGTATTCATGTAGTTAAACTTCCATTTGCACAATTAAATAGAAGTTTAGTGAAATGTTCCATTTATATTTCACACAGTGGAAAAACATCTTGAAATTTCCATCTGTTCTAGTCTCTCCTGTTTTATAAGCATTGATTCTCTATTTGCTAACAGTCTGTAAAATCTGCTACATCGTTAGATACGTTTCAATCAGAGTATTTATTTGATATTTTAGCTGCTGTTCAGGATATTCCCAAACCCATTCTTGTGGTGTTCCTTATCACTCACTGAGCAACAATATAGACATGTGACTGATTACATCATCTTTACGGTGAATGTGGTCCCTGAGGCTAAAACACTGTTCCTCTTATGCACAGAGATGTTACCATAACAATACTGACACCAGTATCTAGAAAAATGGCTAATGATATAATCTGAAACCTTGAAAGAAATGTGCTGGCCACACAAAATTCTGATATGCCTTTAAATATAAGGTGGGTTGTCCAAACAATGGAAACCTCAGTGGCACTTAATAGTTCTGTGGACAGTGGCTCCACATATAAAATTAGATAGCGAATAGGTTTAAAGGAAACAAAGGTGACAGGCTGAGGAGCCCTTCCCTTTGCCGCTCCTCTGAGAGACCTAGAACTTATCCCCCTCCACCTATATTTATGAGCAGCAGACGTGATGGTCGTACCTTTGAGGATGAAGTTTAGCTTTCCTTTGGGGGTCAGAAAGACCAAACCAATAGTTACAATTGCAAAATCTCCTAACTGGACAACTCTTCTGCCCAAGCACATTGAACGTGGGAAAGGTTAGGGAGGGGAGGGGAGTGTACCACACCTCTCTCTGATTTCCACCTTCTCAGGTTCACATTCTGGAACCTGCATTTCATCTTCCACCCTGGCGGACTTGAAACCTTCCATGTTAACTGCATGGTGCCCTTCTGCCATTCCCCGAGTGTCTTCGTCCTCCTCTTCCTCCTCCTCTTCCTCAGGAGGATACTCAATGACGTCACACTCGTCATCTGACTCGGAGGAAGAGCTTTCATCTGAGCTGGAATCATCACTTGAAGTTGTTTCATACCTAGGTGGCAATTGGGAGTTCAGGAGATGCAAGGCGTGCCCGGAAAGACCCCGTGACAGAAGTTTTTATGCAGGGAAAGCTAACTGACTCCGGACATTTCACCAGTGGTTTTAGACCCTGCATTTAGAAGTTCAAAGTAAGTTCTATTTAAAAATCTGGTGGTTTTGAATGGGCTCTGACTTAAAAGGGGCAACTTGGGTTCCCAATCGGTATCATTATATACACTTGTAGGAAAAATATGTATAAATACAGCACCTCTGGCTTAGTAGAAGTCAAAGGAAACTCAACTTCAGGAAAGAAGTTAAGGTCTGCAGTGGTTCATTTTTTTCTGTGCCTTTTCTTCTCCCTTACATTCTTCCTGTTTTGCTTCATTAACTGTACCAGTGTTACGGTGAACCGATTATGTAAGTAACCCATAGTTTCTCTGGTCCATATGTCCTCCAAGACCTCCTGGGCCCCATCACCCAATACGACTTCAAAGATTCAGAAAACAGGCCTCATTAAGTTAAAGCTCTACGGTACACTTTGCTATAAATATTACCTCCAATAACTGCCCTACTGCTTTCTTGTCGAGGCCATATATGGATTCATAGATTAGCTGCTCTGATTCAACTGTAGGAAGACAAATTGGCTTCACTACTTATCTGGCTCAATGAGAAACAAAAGAATAAACAGCTAATAAACGCTCTATTTAGAGAGTCAAGAAGGGACGCACGGCTGGATTACTCATCAAGTGAAAGGCCCTACAATTTTGTTTGTATGCACGGAGAGCTAACAGCCCATTCTCAACGAGTGGACGGCCATCACCGGCCCCTGGAGTGATGCTCTCTCGCCTCTTTCTGTGTGTTTCTGAGTCTCACACAGGTAAGCACAAGTTGGCCAACACCGCGGGACACCTGCTGCCTGCTGCTTTTGTTGAAGACTACCGGTTTCAGATCAGAGGTGAGAAGATGTCAATAGCTCAGCTCCGTCAGGTGTCCTTTCAAGAGTGAGTGGCATATCCTTAAAGAGAGCGAGAAGAGGAGAGGACAGAAGCCCAACTGCACCTTTCTGAGGGGATCTTCCATCACCAAAATGTGGCAGCAGCCCAGACTAGCCACCTTTGAATGGGACTCGAGGAGGCAGGAGGCAAAGTAGACAGACAGACCATGGAGAGACGCTCGGACCGCCATCTTCCTTACCCTCCGTTAATGCCAACAAACTGCAGATTCTTCTTTGCTCCATTTGAATCTCTGCTGCCATCCTTCTTCTTCATGATCGACTTCAGCGTGCTTTCACTGTTGGTACATACTGTGAAAAAAGGAATCGAGGCGATCAAAATTAACATAACTCACATGCACACAAGTTAAGTGAACGAGAAATCTCTCCTCACGTATGTTTGGTTTTTCACCACATTTATGTCAATCTAGATCTTGGCATGTACATATGAGAAACTTGCACAGAATCCAATGGCAAAAATGTATGCATACAAAGAAAATAATTTCAAGTTTTTTAAATGGAAAAAAAAACCCATTAGTACTTCCAGACATAACAAAAGCAATGACAACTAGCATTTGTATCAGGTTTCACTGTATAAAGTGACGCTGTATCTCATGTGGGCCTCAAAAATCACTTAGGCACTAAAATAGGGATTGTTATTATTCTTTTCCTTCAGCTGAGATGATCTGGGAAAAGTTGCTGCCTGCCAGACTGTGGAAGAATGAAATGGTGCTTAAAATATTTCATAATTCACAAAATTAGAGGAGTTTTTTTTGGGGGATAGCACACCTCTTTCTTTGGTAAATCTTCGTAGAAGATATTCTAGGCCTACCTTCCTAACGTTTGGTTCTTAGGTCAGTGGTTATTCCAGGTCAATCTAGAAGGCACACTGACACCAGACTGGAACGCAGGCAATGCCGGTCCCAAAAGCCTGAGGCTGAGAGGGACCAAGTGAGGGAATTACCATAGAGGCCGGCGGCTATCTGGTCGTCGGTCAGGTTCACGGGAGACAGCGTGCTTTCCTGAGAGGGGAAGGCGTCCTGGCCGCCGAGGGGTCTCCCTTCCGTGGTCCCGGCTTCTTGCTCATGCCGGGATGTCTGGCTGTTGAACGGTCCTCCTGACTGAAGGCCTCCGCACTTACAGGGGTATTCCAGACTACTGCCTGTCAGGAAGGAGACGGGTGCACAAGTGTGTGACGTTAGGACCAAACGAAGTGGGTTCAATTTTTTTTTTTTTTGAAGACTTATACAACTCATCATCTTCTCAAGGGCTTTTCTCGCTGCATTTTCTTTCTGCATATATGGCAGTACCGTGCAAGCTGTCCAAACTCAAACCCCAAGGCCGCCTTCACCCTCAACCTTCCCTTTATCACCACATCCGGGTCTGCCCGGGCCTGTCCTTCCACCTCCCTCCCTTCTTCCTGGCCTGGCTGCTACCACCCAGCCCGGGTAGAGCCAGCAGCGTAGGATCCTGACTGCCCTCTTGCTCCGCCACACGCCTCGCGCACACTGCTACAGAGCAACAGCCAGGTCCCTGGAGTCCCGGTGGCATTCCGGCTCAAACGCACCCGAACGAAGCGAAAACACTCCCCTCTGCTCAGGAAACGCGGCCCGCCCTGTTTAGCCACATATTCTAGGCCACCCACAAGCTGGCACATCTTACTTCCTCTCCACCTTTGTTTCCCACCATGCCCGGGGTCCCTGTGGAGGTGAGGACTGCAGCCCAGTCACTGGGATGCTGAGAGTGGGCGTCTCTCATTCTCCTGACAGCACTTTGTGCCTTATGCTCTCTTACCTGGAACGCTCCTTCCTCCCGCCTCACAGGGTCAAGCCCTCCATCACCCTCTCTTCTGAGCCTTCCCTGACCTCTCTGAATACAAATGATGTTCCTTTCTCCGTGACTCGCGCAGCCCTCTTACCTCTCGGACTCTCGTACAGGATCTGTAGTAAGACAAGGTGCCAGATAATTCCTGGGACCGTCTAAGACTCCCTTCTAGTCTGTGAGTATTCTGAGGGCACGAAACCATTCAAATCAACTCTCTCTCCTCACATTTACTACACTGCTTTTGTGTATTTGGAGTGCCTAATATTTGTTCACGGACTCAAGCAGAAGATGTGGTTAAATGACTGCACATAATTAACGTATACAGGCACAGCACAGTATTTTCAATGTGGCTGACAAGGAAAGATGTTTACAACATATGATTAAATAAGAAAAGCAGATAAAATTCTACATATGTGATTCTATTAAAATACATATAAATACACACATCTGGAAGCCATGCAGATGTTAACTTTTCCCTGTGCTTGCCATTTTTTAGAGTGACTATTAACTGTGTTCAAAATCAATCTTTCTTTCTTTCTTTTTCTTTCTTTCTTTCTTTCTTTCTTTCTTTCTTTCTTTCTTTCTTT